TATATATATAGAAACTTCCATGTAATTTTCCCATAGGCGTCACTCTGTCGGTAATCTCGTTCGTTCACGCGATATTTCAGCAGAAATATAGCGCGAATTCGATGCGGGGGTTTTAACATGAGCTGTGATGGGAACCAACTGAACCACTTGTTAAACGAGGTAGGAAGTAATACCACAAGTCGCCCTTACGAGTTCAATCAAGTGCCTGTGACGAGATGAAGCGAACCAAAATACAACCAGCTGCTATTTGACTTTCTAATGGCATGTTGCGACGTCGTTAGCTAGGTAGGCTACCTCACGGCTAATGTCTGTTGCCATACCCGCGTTAACTTCAGTTAACTCATTGATCTGCATGACGTGTTTATCCAGAACCAGTGATCTGAGTAGCCTGTTAACGTTCACTGGGGTTTAGGTTGAGTTCAGCTGAACGTCTGCTTACATTAATTTGCTTATCCTTTCGGTTTCGTTTGCCAGAGAGGGGCGTTTGTTGGATGACAGCGACCAAGATGGCGAAACGCAGGACAAGCACCAGTTCTGCCGGTGAAAACCCAAACAAACGGATCCGATCTTCTTCGGATGGTGAGGTGGACGGAAAGGAAGCTGCCGAATGTGACGGGGACTACTCTGCTTTAAGCAAACGGGTAGGCAGATGTCACAGCCACATCACAGTTGTATTGAAATGTCAGAGCTAAGTTTTGTAATGCTGCAGCTACGAACAGTCATTGACACAAGTTCTGTGTGTGTAGTTCCAGTGTAGTGGGGAAGTGGTTAGTGATGCAGGCATTGTGGAGAGCATCACACTGAAGAACTTCATGTGCCACTCCCTCCTTGGACCTTTTGCTTTTGGTTCCAATGTCAACTTTGTTGTTGGCAACAATGGAAGTAAGTACACGCCTTCTCAACTGAGGGTTCTTGGGAAAGGAAATCATTCACTTTAAGTCTGTATTTATAATTTAAGTTGAGTTTAATTTAATTTAAAATGAGGCATCCTAACAGTTTAAGTCCTCTTCCTAAATCATCAGCAGCTGTAGCAAAGTGAAGCTGATGCAGCAAACACAGATGGCTGTGGCAAGCCCTTTTAACATTAAATCAATTTCACCACACTTATATTCCAGATATCTGAAATTGCTTTATGTGTGACTCATGATAAGACCTGATTTGTGAACCACACATATCTTTGTAGGTGCACCAGAACAAGGACAAACAGATTCAAGAGCAGCCTTTTCCCAAAAGCCATTATATTATATCATTATATCATACTGAACTCTCGCATGCACTGACTCCTGATTTACAATCAGCTAGAAACTTATTGCTGTGAAATACATACATACTGTGGGACACCTGTCACTTTATTTTGTTAATGATCACCTGCAATACCAGCATAATCCATATACCTCAATATACAAAATGTGCAATATTTAAACAATGTGCTATAATGTCGTTTTTATTTCTTCTACTTTAGTTTTACATTTACAACTGACTGTCGTGCTTTTTTATTGTTGTATATATGTGCATATATTTACATCTATGTATACATGCAGATGTTTAGGCATATTTTAGCTCATTTTATTCTTTTATTCTTTTCTTTCTTTTAATATGTATTTGCACTGCTGTGGGAGTGGCTCTAATCTCGTKATGCATGCGTGTAATGACAATAAAGCCATTCTATTGTATTTGTTGAASTTGCCATAACATTTACTAAGTCACTGTATCTACAAAACTGCCAAAGTTTTCAGCACCTGCCACTTGTGTATCTCATCTTTCCTATCGTTTTGTGTGTGTGTGCAAACTCTTTGTAACAGGCGGAAAGAGTGCCATACTGACAGCTCTCATAGTTGCGTTGGGAGGAAACGCACAATCCACAAACAGAGGATCATCCCTCAAGGGCTTTGTGAAAGAAGGGGAAAGGTAAACCTGTAGGCATCTTGTGTCGTGTTTTAACTGCTTCTGTAGAATAGAAGTTACAATTTGGTTGATTTATAAAAGTCTTTTTTTATTTTTATGTAGTTGTTCTTGGTTTAGGTTGGCTCTAATGTCCAAAACTTTTAGCTTACTTACTGCTTTACCTAATGGTCAGACTTATCTGTCCTGTATTAAATGCAGAATTGTAAAAAGTGTTTTTTTTAAATACTGTTATTTTCACCAATAGTCTTAAAGTATTTTTGTTTCCCCAGTTCTGCAGATGTATCAATCACTCTGCGGAACAAAGGAAGAGACGCTTACAAACCTGAGGTGTACGGTCCGTCTATCATCGTAGACCTGAGAATAACACGAGACGGGCTGAGAACCTATAAACTCAAAAGTACAACAGGTGTAGAAGAGCTTTTCTTTTCTCATGCTTTGGGATTTTTTTTTCTTTTTATATATAAAGACTCAGCCACAGGTTAGCTGGTTGGTGCTGATATGCAGGATGTTCTTAGATGTCCAGCTAATATATAAAATAGAGGTTATTCTCTATTGTGATCATAATATATCCACTAGTGGAAGGATTCACAACATACTATTCATCCTTTAGGTCAGGTCTTGTCAACGAAAAAGGAAGAGCTCATTTCCATCTTGGACAACTTTAATATTCAGGTAGGGTGCATGCTACTTTTTTGCCATTTCAAAGAGATCAAGAGACATAAATGCCAAAAAATCATATTGAACCATTTCAAAAGTTTATTTTTTTCTTCTGTTTTTCCCACCATCATTAGTTTCAGTTTGAGTGACAGATGATCTGCTCTCGTGTTGAACTGCAGTTACAGAATAGATTTACGATCCTGTGAGTCACAGATTTTTCCTCTGTTCTTTCGCAGGTTAACAATCCTGTATCAGTCCTCACACAGGAGATGAGCAAATACTTCCTCCACTCTAAAGGAGAGGGAGACAAGTATAAGGTCTGTTTTTAAAATAAGTGTTAATTACATTTGGCTAAATATTTCAGCATATTGAAATACCTCAGTTGCTGCATGAATCACCAAACTTTTATTTGTTTTTTTTTGTTTTTTTTTGTTTTAGTAATAAATGCATGAATTATACTAACTGGGAAAACGTATACCACGAGTAAAAGTATTAGCTAAAGTTTATGATTTTTCTCCATGACTAGACTAGACCAGGGGTTCTTAACCTTTTTGACTTTGGGGCTCAATTTATTGAACATAAAGTGACACGAGGCCCAGTCAGACATTACCATACCAAAATTATAATTATTCTAATTCTTGGTTTGATTTTTATTGTATTTACATTATAATTAAATTAAATACACTTACATTTTAAAAGTAAAACTCCTGTCAAATAATGACATGATGTGATTATGACAGTTTTTTTATATTGCAACCTGCCCATAACAGTTGTTTGAACAAATACAAAGGTCAGTCAACAGACCACTCAGGTATATATATATA